CGTCTTGGGATTTAACGTATTTTTGCATTTAACTTATGTAAAGTACTGGTGCCTTTTTTCTATCGTTTCTGATATACAGGCAAGGGGTAATCGTAATCAAGTCATTTGATTGCAATGACTACATTTATCTTGGCGAATGCAATGGGACATCCCTGACTGCAGATAGTGAAGAGTGAAAATCGAATTGGTATTTTATAATTCATATCTCCACAAACAATCGTTTCAATTGTTTGTGGAGATTACAAAACAGACTGTGATTATTAATCGATTACACAAATTTCTTCAAAGTAATCAATGATTAATCGATTACTTTTTTTTTCAGTAATCGTGCCAATGGCTGCTAATATGTTTAAAGTTTAAAGTAAATGATATTTTAGGGATTTAATAATTATGTTACTGTCAAGATAACGAACAGTATTCAATCTCAAAGTCCATAAAACAATACAAAATAGGAGCAGAGCAAACACCGAACCCCGAAACACCACTTTTTATATACAAGGTAAACAAAAGAGGCCGTCTTTTTTATATACTGCCATAGATTAGAGAATCTATATGGTGAATTTCCCTTGCTTAGGGAGGCTTTTAATTGCTCTAAAACACTACACCAAAATGGTTTTACTTCATGGTATTCTTGTGTTAACTTCTTACTTAACCAGTATCTCAGCCGCGACTCACCCAGTCGATAAAATGGGTACAACTGTTCCGTCGCCCTGCGCTCGGCACCTTAAAGTGAAAGTTGCGGGTCCTTCGGATGAGGCCCCGTGTCAGCGGTAGGCGTTGGTACGATAAAGATCCCTCACTGCTCAATTGCCCTGATTGCCGAGTAAAGGTCAAAATTTGAAGCCCTTCACCGGCATACGGTGACGTCTCCATATGAGTGAAAAATTATCGAGAGGGACGTTAAACAATATACAATCAATCAATCAATCTGACTTAACCATTTTGATATTAAAATTGGTGATTTCTTAGGTATGTCACCCCCACACTTTAAAATGAACTTGAAAAGAATATTACCGAATTTCTATAAATTAACATGGGAAAAAGACAGGAAGAAGATGGGTGAATAAGGCGGTCAGAATGCCTATAGTGCGACAGATAAGAAGTGAAAATTTTAATCTCAATTGAATCCAAATTTTACTTGATATTTCATCTAATATTAAAGTATACTATATGTAAAATCACTACAATTTACAAAAATCTCACAAAGACTGAAAATATTTGCCTATGAAAATGCTTTCACACACTAAAAAGAACAAAAACGATCATTTTCTCATACTTTAACAGAATTTTTCAATATGGGTGGCTCTTCTCTCCATTTTTTTGAAAGATGATCCTAAAAGTGTGCAATAAAATACACATTTTTTGGTTTTCAAAAACATGGAGCGAAGACTCACTATACCTTAAAAGTACAATTTTATGACACAACATTAGCATCTTTCCGAGAAATACTTCAAGTCCATTAAGTCAAGGGTCATATAACAATAATGATTTAAATGCTTAAATGCCTAAAATCACCATCATCACCATCAGCGGTGTAGCATAGAGGTTAACGCGTTAGTCTCAAAGCAGCATGCTATTGATACGTCGGATTTTTATTGCTAGGGTTCGATTCCCCCGAATACCATCTAATAATTTCATGAAAGAAAATTCTTTACGAGATTCTTTCTCTCTCAGAAAAGTTTTTTTTTTTCTCATAATTTCAAAAATTTCAATAATTAGAAGTTAATTTAAATAATCAATCCACATATTTAATATTATTTCTTTATATCTGACGCTATAGGCATTCTGCCCGCCTTGTTCACCCATCTTCTTTACATAAAGATGGCAAATTATCTACCTTTACCAACATAAAGACTAAATTTTGTTTTGAACCTTGTCTAGATATTCTAACAAACAATCAACATTGATCAGTCGTAACAAAGTTAAGAATATCAGCACACAGGCTTAAAATTGAAATTGGACGTTACCAAAAAATACCTGAAAGGAAGGAATTTGTTCACTTTGTCATCACAACAAGATTCAGGATGAAATTCATTTTCTCCTTGTATGTCCTCTTCTTAATGTACAAAAGACTTGAACTCATAAATATTTTTAAAATTAAATGTTAAAATTTTCAGTCTCCATCTTATGATAATAAATTTTATTGGCTCATGACTAATGAAGACCCTGACATCCTTAGATCAATTGCTAGATTCCTTGGTAACCTACCTTTATAGAAGGTATTGTTATAAGAATAATAAATTATTTACCTTTTTCCCTGTTTATATATATATTTTTTTTACATGTGATATACAATACAATACATGTATGTATATTCAGTATATCTCTTATATACTTTTTTTACCAATTGCTCTCATTATTTGTAATATCATCATCATGCTAGTTCTATCATTTGGATCCTCCTTTTTCTGTTTGTAAATCTTTTTGCTCCTCTGGGGCCCGTTTCATCAAAGGTCGTACGCCCAGTCGTAGTGCTACGCCGGTGTAAAGTCGGGACTAGCACGAAGAGTTGCGTTTCATTAAAGAGCGTATCGTTACACCTGACTAAATTTAGGCCAAAATTCTACGTCTACTCATGGGTAGGCGTAAGTTTGGGCGTAAAGTTTAAATTAGGTAATTTAACTAATTTTAAAAGAAGTAAGCGAATTCTAAAGAAAAAGTACGGTTCTAAGAAGTCTTTTAAATACAAACATTGTATTATTTAAATATACATACTATGAAGAGGGGGGGGGGGGGTGGTTACAACCACTTGGGGGCGTAGTTGATTGAAGTAACAACATACTTGTACTTAATTAAGTCTTCTCAGAAGAAAAAAATTGTCTTAATAGAAATTTCTTCGACCACCATGTCTTACGTTTTCACAAAGCATTCACACACATTTGATTATTTTGTTGTATATATAAGATATTGTAACTCGACTATACATGTATAACTATATATTTATTATATACCCCCACCTGAAAAGTGGGAGGGTATATATAGTAATCGGGATGTCCGTCCGTCGGTCTGTTACGCTTTGGTGTGCCATTGTGTCTTATTTTTCTTTTTGGTATGACTCATATTTTGGGTTTACCAGAGCAAAATATGGACACTGCCATTATATTCATATGGAGGCGGGAGATCCATTAAAATCGTCTCTTTTGAAGAAAAAAAATCGCAAAAATATATTTTTGTGAGGAAAAAAAATCGGTCTCAGAAACATAGTCATCCTCTTTCTGGTAATTTTCTACATTTAACTTAAAGAAAAAATAATTAACCTTAAAACCAGATAGGTTTTTTATCATGTTTGAAGAGTTCATTTTTTATTTACTCCTCGTCCACAAGCGTGGATTTCGAAAGGATCAGAGAGAGGGTTCAGAACCTCCCGAATTTGCAGATTAATCAACATTTAATGTACAGAGTTAGGGGCGAAGGTAATTATTCTTCTAGGTATATGTGTACAAGTGAAGTCCAAAGACTAAACCCGCGGATAGGGGTCTCATAGACAATGAGAAATTTTTAAATTGGGAAAATATTATTACTTTTATTATATCGATGTAAGACGGTCGTAATTACACAGTTAAGTTCAAGAACTGATTTATTCCTAAAAATATTTCTTTTATGCAGAAGACATTTTTATTTTTCATGATTTCGTCTAAAAGAGTATATTTTACATAATCTGAGCGCATATGAAGCACATGTAAGAGAACAATATACATATTTTTGATTTCCTGCATAACTTAAATTCTAATGAAAAAAAAATAAAGACTAAATGTAACTTAATATCTAAGAGAGAGGCCATGCAAGCAGAGACTTTCTGTAAGAATATCTTTGTAGTCATTTCTCTCTCTCTCTCTCTCTCTCTCTCTCTCTCTCTCTCTCTCTCTCTCTGCATACTTGTAAAATGGTACGTTAAATTTAAGCTTCAGATAGTAAAGAATTTTTGTCTATTACTGACTATACATAGAGTCTAGTATTTCGAAATTATTTCATGAACCTTTGTGCCATTTTAATATTCAATAGAAAATTATAATGAATCATTTGACAAAAATTTAATAGACTTAGAAAGGATAGTCTTACATGTACCTTAGAAGTAAACGTGTAAAATTTATTTCTTGACTCAAAATGTGTACATATGTAAACTGCATTTTTTATACATTATTTTTGCTTTCAATTAAGTATACATATCTTATGAAAATAATTTTTTAAAATCGTATTCTGTCTTAAACTTATTAGTATTTTATCAGCAGTCAGTAATTATCGAATCATTAAATGATTATCAAAGGCGAAGTCATTAACCTGTATAAAATTTCTGGAAAGGGGGGGGGGTTGCTGTATATAATTAAAATTCCAAAATAAACAGGTTAGCTTTTAATAACATTCTGAAATACATGTACGATCCTTTTTTAACTTTCAATTTATAAGACTTATGTTATTGAAAAATTGTAAAAACTTAAAATCGATTTCTTATAACATGTATAAGGAATATACTTGACCCTATAATCCATGCATGTTTCAATCAGTGCAAGTATTTATTATTCTATAATTTGTGTTATTCTATTCTTTTACGGGCTAAAATTATATACATGTTTGTATGCAGTGGACAATGTTTATATTTTTTGCGCCTGCGCAATGCAACGTTGTCAAGGACTTAGTCCTGCGACTAAGCGTATCGTTTACGACTAGACTTACGCCACTTGGTGAAACGCAAATTACGCCTGACTAAATTTTGGCGTAAGTCCCGGAAGTACACCTAAGTTAAGGCTTAAATCTACGACCTTTGATGAAACGGGCCCCAGGGGCCCAAATTGGATTAATAAAATCTTGTACCTTGTATACAAGATATAAACATTTTTGAAGTACAAAGATTGGAAGTAGTAATTATGGCATCTATATATAGATTATCTAGTTATGAGTGAATATTTTAATGTACTGATATAAGTATACATTTCATCATAATATTTGTATGAATTTGTAGCTGGACGATGCATGTCATCATGGTCTGAATATATTCGGGCAAAATGCAACGTGTGAAGACAATTATGGAAGATCAGTAACTGTAACTTTTCAACAACACCATATCTATTCACTAGTATTTATTGAAATATTGTACTTTCATTAATTGTTAGTTCTCATGCATTATAATTATGTTGTATTAGATTAGGTATACCCTACGCTTTTTTGTCAAACCAGTGAACGAATATCCACCCATTGCTGTCAGAAATGACACTATCCGGATACAAGAGGTTCGTTACTTGAATATGAAACTTAAAAACATTCCCTAAATGAAACATGTATACAGATATTTGGATGATATGATGAGACTGATTTCAATAAAGTTATTTTGAATTTCAGGGCGAAGGGCCGACTCCAATATACATCGCCCGTATGTTTGATTTCTTTCAAGACCGTGATTGTCCAAGGGACAGACCTATATTTATCATCTCAAAGACTACTGAAAAGGTGTGTTTTTCTATAAAGCCTACTGTGAAATTGATTTAAATATCAATTTCATGTATTCTCAGGCGTAGAAATATACACAAAGAAAGCCGCATTAATTATTGATTATAAAGTAAAAATGCATTATCTCTATGAAAATCTTCTCTACTCCTGGGTATCAAATAAATAAACTAAGTACCTAGTTATGATGAGCAAGAATGCCACAAAATTGTGAAATTCGTGGTCCCAGGGTCAGGGGTTCTGATTTTAAGGCGGGGCTCTATTTATTATATAGTGAAAATGCATTAGTTTTTTGAAAATCTCTTTCTACCTATTAATTAAAATAGCTAATTGCATAGTTATGATGAGTAAGAGTGTCTCTTTTAAAACTGTGAATTTTAAGGCCCCATGGTCAGGGGTTCTCAGGCGCGTAGCTGCCTATACGCAAGTACGCAAGTGCGTACACATCATTTTCCAAAAAAAAAAAAAGAAAAAAGAGGGATAAAAGAAAAGAAGAAAAAAAAAGAAAGAGAGAAATTTATTCGGGAAAAAAGACGCACTACCCGTGTTTCAAATTATTGAATTTATTGTTTCGATTCAAATTTTTTTCAGCATGACTGCATGCACATTCAAATTTAGTCCTTTATAAAATCAATTCCAAAAACATCTTTGAACATTCTTAAGGAAAAAAATATTGTTGTACCAAAATGTAATACTGCGTAATTCTGATTATCCGGACAAATATTTGATGAAGGAAAGTTATCTAAGGGACTTTGATCGAAAGTAAAAGTTACAAAGGTCTTGGACGACTATCCAAGATATTTAATGTCCGTAGAGGTAATGAATAAATGTCGTTAAACAATTTAAATTATGATGAACAAAATGAATAATAATTATATATAGCTTCTTTTACTGATGTTACCAATTTAAAAAATTATTTCATAATTGAAGCATTCTCGAATCGTTTCAGCTATTAAATATGAAAGTAATCAAACGACAACAACACCCCATTTATATTTTGAAATATTTAAACTCCAATGATAACGATATTGAAATTGCTACTCTGTTTTATCTTGATATTTATTTGATAAATTATCGTTCTCTTCCCAAAGTATCAATGGAAGCAGTATAACTTAGCTAAGTGTTTGCTCGGGAAAAGTGATACCGGTATTATCGTGATTTCTTTTGCGAGAAAATGACTGAAAAATTTCGTACAATCCAGGAGCTTCCGGGGGCTTCGCCCCCTGGGCCCCCACCAGGGCTTTACCCTGGACCCACTGGGGGTCTCAGGGCTACAGACCCCCGGTCGTTTTCTGCGTACACTTCATTTCCATGCTGGCTACGCGCCTGGTTCTGTTGCTAGGGAAGGGCTCTTTTGATTATATTGTGAAAAATTCATTAATTCTTTGAAATTCTTTTTCCATGCTACTAGATATTAAATAAACTAAATAAATAGATATATAGTTATAATGCGCATGAATGCTTCTACCAAAATTGTGAATTTCATGGCCCCAGGGTCAGGGGTTCTTGTGTTAGGATGGGGATCTATAATGATTATATAGTGAAAATACATTAATTCTTTGAAAATCTTCTTCTCTGCTCCTGGGTTATAAGCTTACGAACTATCTATATAGTTAATATGATGTGCAAGGTTTCTTATTCCAGTATTGTGAATTTTCAGGCCCCTGGGTCAGGGATACATGTACCATAGGGGGCGTGGGGGGCGGGGTCTACTAATAAACTGAAAATGAATTGTTTGAAATCTGCTCCTTGGTATTAATCAAATATTTTTGATAAGCAAGTGTGCCTTTTCAAAAAGTGTTCTTTGTGTGGATCGACCCTTGAGGGTCAGGGGTACATTTGTGGTAGGGGCACTTCTAATTATTGCTGAATATAACTTATTAGTTAATATGCATTTTTTTTTACCCTACCCTGTCTATGGGTATTACGGAGGCTAAGGATCTAAACTTAACCATTGCTAAGTTCATCGTTATGATTAACAGAGGTGCCTGCCTCTTTCAAAATTGTGAATGCCAAAGCATCTTCCTTAAAACATGAACCAAATTCTATCATTTGAAAGTTGTTGCATGATTCTCATGTGACCTATAAGAACCATGGGCATCTTGTTTTTAAAAGCCATCACTTATACAATTTATATTATTTTTAGATTTTGCTTTCCAAGTTCTACTGCATATCAACACTGCCAATCAAATGTATAAAAATCATTGGCTTATTTTTCTATATTCCTTTCTTTAAAATACTTTGACAAAAATATATATTTTCAAAAACGAATCTTGGGTCGCTCACTCCTCCATGGGACCTATCTGATCCCAATTCATCTTTCGGAGGTCCGTGTTTGCTCTGCTCGTATTTTGTATTGTTTATTGCACTTTTGAGCTTGAATGATGATCGTTATCCTCATATATTTCATTATAAACATGTACAGTTACAAAAAAGCAAAGAAATTGCTTTATGAAATACATTCCCGTTATCAAGGCCGATGCCAGCGAGTATTTCACTGTTAACACCACATCAGGATTCCTGTATCAAATAAAGAACTTTGATTACGAAGACACAGGAATCCAGTGCGGTTTGGGAAAAACTGGAGGTATCTTAAATGTCACTGCAAAGGTAAGCAAAGATACCTCATTACTGATGTTTATATTTGCGACTAATCTATAGTAATTCTGCGCGATTTCTATATTTAATGCATGGAATGAATTATTGAGGAATTGCATAGAGCGTTCACGTAAAGGGTTCGATGCCACAGGATCGTCAAGCTCGAGTTTTGAGAAAAGGGCATGTCTGTTTTCCAGATGGAATGGTAGATTTTTTTCTATCCTAGCTCAGCGTAGTACGCTTTGAATTTTGGTCTACGGACTGTAATTAATGCTTCTAATACTTAACAGCCTGTTATGGTGCAATGTTGTGAATTTTGCATTTGCAACTCTCCATCCTTTATTTTGAGATTTTCTATATTTTTGTATTTATATGAAGCAGAATGCATGAAAAGAAGAAACCACTTGCGACCTTCAAGTCGACAATTGGATATATTGATTTATACGATACGACGAAGTTTTTCAATTTACAATTATAATTTCCGTTCTTATATCGATATAATATATCCAGGAGAGCTTGAGATTAAAGAAACCAGAGAGAATGACACATCTGTTTCATACTTTGATATTTCACTTGAAAAAGACGTTAATGGTAATCTAACAATAAAGCTATATGATAAGCGTGATGACGTTAACTTTTCTATCGTCAACTTCCTTGATTAATACTGCAGTATACCCTCACCACCTGCATACGGAGTTTATGTATCTCAGTTGATTCGATAAGCAAGAAAATACTCTAAGTAGAAAAAAATTTCTAAACTAAAAAAATAATGACCAACAAGTTGATGAAACAAGAGTATCAGCAGTCTTGTTTTAAGTCATCATTTTGTAAGTTTTATGGTCGACACAATGACCTTGTCAGCAAATGCAAGTTTCCATTGAGTCAATGCTGACTGACGTTTCTCACACCAATTGTTAGTCTTTTATTTATACACTGAATTGACGACAATTTTTTTCCGTTATTTCCCGATCATGACAAGGAGCAGACAATGGGTGCGACCGCTTGGCAGGGGATGCCCACTCCTCCATGACGCATGATTCAACCTTTGATGCTTTTTAGGTCCATGTATGGACTTTTAATCTTTAGCACAACAAGTAGTTTGGCTTGCACTCAACGAGTGATTTTGTGCTCGATGAGCTATGTAGATCAAATGATGCATAGTCAGATTAGTGCGTCCCTAATTCCTTTCAGTATTTTTTTCTCTTGGTTTGTTGTAATTTTTAGCGTAATAGATGCGCGTATTTTTCGACATCGTCGATGATGGAATCGCTCTTTGTGCCGTGGTTCTCAAGCGAAATATAATCTGATTTCAGAAAACCAATGGGTGCATTTGATCCTTAGTTTGTCATTTTGATGGGCTAAAACTTCATTAATTGATCAAGTATTTATATTGAAATGAAGAAACATTTTATTCTTCAGTACGGTTCTTATACGATGTCTACAATCCTGAATGTAAACTTCACTGACGTGGATGACACTCCTCCCGTGTTTGTTAGGGATGACTGCTCCACTACATGCTACTCATGTCCAGTTCCGGCTATTTTTGTCACCATTGATTACTTTGATCAGGTTTATTTATTTACTTTTGAAATTTTGTTTGCATTTGAAACAAATATTTTTTTCATAAGAGCAATAATTACACACACATACACTGCATTGCTAAAACAAACGATTATATCTTTTTCTCTAATTCAGGGAATCATCAAAACTGAACCTAGCCACTTAAAGGCCATCGATACAGATAGTCCTCGTTCAAAAATTACATACAATTTAACAGGTATACTTAGTGCCTATTTATAATTTTAATTTATGAAATATGACATACGTGCAATAAAGTGACCAAGCTAAAAACAAAGACATGCAATATCGATCTGTAAACCTAGGATAAAACTTTATTAGAATAAGATTGAATTGGATTTTTTTTACATGCACTTACCCCTACCCCAATTCATCACATTTTAAGTTTTTTCTATTTGTATAAATTTACTTCAAAAGCAAATTTATTCAAAGCATAGTTTCTGATATCTGATTTTTATTTATATTTTATTAATTACCTCTTTCTCAATGTCAACTCTATTTAAGAGAGAGTTTGTGTGAGGGAGTGGTCAGAAGAAGTGCCGATAGTTAGGTGAAAGAGTGCAGTCCATATCGAGAGGTCACAATATGTCAATATGTCGTTAGCCCTTTTTTGATCAGGCTGACAAAATAATCCGTAGAGAAATGTATAATTCCAAAGATGCATTAATTGTTTATTAACAACATAAAAAAAGCCTAATAATAGATTTCAGTTTGCTAACAAGGCCATGATACCGACCAATCAATTAACGAACACTCACTCCAGTGCCTACTAAATAAAAAGGAAAAGGATTTTATTTTAGTTTACCGAAGAAACATCGAATCTACAATATGTGCAGATTTGAACAATTGAATACACCAAGTACAGAACACTGAGCATGGATTGACAATACTAGTGAGCGGGAGTTACTTTCGAACATTTCTACTCCGACGCGAATTTTCTGTATTATAGTTTTAATAGTTTTTTGTCAATAAACAAAACTGCAACTTTTCTGAAGGTATTCAATGCATAACGACCATATCTTACACTTAATAAATAAATGATCCGATACTTTTAATCAAAATTTGAATCAGAATTTTGAAGATTGTATCAAATAAAAATGATACACCAAAGGAATTCGAAAATTTTGATTATTGTCTAATTAATTGCACCTTAAATCAACATTGACGTCTATGTGCAGCACACATTTTTATCAGATATTTTAAAAAGTTATTTGATTTTCAAACAAAGCTCTTGGTGAAAATATGCATTAACTCCCTCTTTATTAAATCATGATATAAAATAAATTATTAACCGCAGAAATTTTGAAAAATCAAAAAAAAAATTCTTTTCATCAAGGGCAGATAACTCTTCAAAAATTTAGACGTGCAAAAAGACTGTCTCCTTCCACGTTATCAGTCTTGTTAATTTGGTTCAATGCGTTGACCCTGAAGTAAATATATAAGTGAGGTTAAATCGGAGGCCATGGGCCAATATCTGGCTACGCATGCGCGAGAATGCTAGAGAGTTCGCTTTCGGCAAACTTCGGCTGATTCCGTCGCCTATATCAATTCGAATATTAGAATATGTCATTCATTGGCAATATTCGCTTTTAAATCTGCATATCGTATTTATATATATTCATTTGCGTATCCAAATTTCTCTCTTAACCAAGTTTTTACTTTATTCAAAGTGAAACTAAACATTGATTCTATGGCACAAATATTTTAAAAAGTAGAAAGAACTTGCTGTATATAGATAAATTAACTTGAATTCAAAACTTTATTCAATGACTAGTCTTAGGTTTTTAGAAAAATAGAACAAGTCTTCATCGGCATTATACTTATGTGCATTAAGGCGGGCAAATTAATATGACAGATGTGCAGCAATCCAAATGCAGCTTGATAGATGCCTGAAGTACCGATTTTTAATGTGGGAGAGGTCGGGTCCGATTAATACAGAGCTGTGCTACACATGTACCATCAGATCTATTTTCCAATAATAGATTCCTTTCGCATAAATCCAGAACTGATGTCTAGTGCCAGCCGATATGGGACATGTATCAAAACAGCCCGACTTTATAAAATGACAAAACTAAATGCTAATCAGAGATATCAATCAAAGAAGGCAGATCATTGTACAAAATGCGAACATACCTACGTGAGTCTTTAAACACATAAAAATCTTCATCAATTGGATTTCGGTTAGAATCACATGCATATAGTCCACGTATTGTAGTCCTTTTTTAAAGGACCACAACTTGTTTCACCTTTATCGTTATCTAGCAATGTGTTTTTAACTAGCTTAAAATTATTTAAAACCATTCAATAACCCTTCGTTATGCATTGAATATCTTAAGTATTAAGATATCAATAAAATTATCATTTGTGCGAGTATGTGTAAATCAAACCCGTCCAGAAAATCGAACTTTAAATAACTTCGAGATGAAAAAATGATATTTACAATGTATCAATTTTTCAAATTTTGAAATATTAACTTCAAAATTGTATCTGTATACCTTTAATACCAGTGCAGGTAGTGAGCACCGGTCCTTCAGACTAAAACAACTTCCCGCAGATGAAGCTAGCACGAAAATGACCCTTCGTTGCCAAACAACCTTAGTGACGAGTAAATGTCTAAATCCCCATTACTCCACTGGAAAGAATTGTGTCCATATAACTCACATGTTCTCTAGAAGGAGGTTAAACAACAAATAAACTTTTTTTCTCGAAAGAAACGCTTCCAGAAAATATTTTTATTGCAGTTTAACATCCAGAGAATGTAAATATCTTATCTGTAACTCCTCCTACGCCACTGAATAAAACTTAATGAATTCATAAATAATTTATTACATAAACCCATTAAGCACCCCTTATTTTTGATTCGACACTTTTTTAAGATACTGAAAGTCAAAATATGACAATCAGTGTTCGTAACTTACACCATTCACAACATTTAAAATTGATTTTCTATTTCTATTGACAGCATATCCTGAAAGATACATAGACAATATTGCGTTTGAAAATGGTACTTTCATCCTTAGTCAGTCGTTTGCAAACTTCTCCAACTCCAGTGAATCTTCAGACTTCCGTGTGGTGGTAGTTCTGCAGGTTTGTTTTATTTTATTGACGGTGAATTCTGTTATTTCCTGATCATGACAAAGAGCGCACGATTGGTATGGCCGGTCGATCGGCAGGGGATATTCACTCCTCTGTGGCACCTGATCCCACCTCTGATGATTTGGAAGTCCGTGTTTGTTCTGCTCTATTTTATTTTTTTCTAATCTACTTTGATACTCAATACTGTTTGTTATATCCATATACTTCATTTTAGTTAAATAATGTTTTTGTCTAAATAACCAAACAAAAGTCAAGCACATGTACTTGCAGGCATTTGGAAGTAACGGTCAGAAATCAGAGCCTTTCGTTTTAATAATGCATGTAACATTACCTCCAACCACGACAAAAGACACAACAACCATAGAAATGGGGATTCTTTTAACAACAAAAGAAGGTAAAAACACAAAAGGCTAGATAATTCAAAGAATTATTGTCTCTCGATTATGTTGTATTATTGGCAATCACATGTGATATATGAAAATCATATCTCTTTATCATAAGTTATAATCCATGTTAAAGTTCTTGTCAAAAAACAGATAAAAAGATAAGATTTATGATAAAAAGACGATTCAATGTTTTCTGCTTTCGTTACAAATAGGGGACATTGTTTCACAGGTTTGAGAACATTCAATAGAAGACAAAAATAAAAGTTGTGATGAAAATGGATTTGAAACATACAGGAAATATATAAGTAATATTAGAGTAAATATGTTACGCGGTTTATGTTACTGTAACTTATTATATAGTAATCTTTCTTAACACAATACATTTCTGTGCAAGGTTAGATTTCGTTTTCATATCAATAGACGTGAAGCATTAATGGTTTTTTTGTATGACTTCAATAAAATAGTGTAAAAATACAAAGCACTGTAAAACAATCAATGAATAGAATCTTCCAAAGATTTCAAAGATTTCTAAAAATCTCTTCAAGGAAGACGTTTTTCAAAATTTTTACAGTGGGCACAAATATTCTTTTTATGGGGTCAGATTATCCAATTTCTCTGTTCTTACTTTCGTGCAGTGAAAATACTTTTTGAAGCTTTTCTTTTTTGTTTTTTTATCATTCTGTGTTTATTTTTTTATTGACATCTCCATTCCTTATAGCGATTAAAAGCGAGAATTGTGAATATAAACTGAGTACTTCATTTGCAGGAGCGTTTGACCATCCGATGCTAGGTGAATCTAAATCTGATTCAACAAAAGATATAGCCATCATTGTTCTCTCTATATCTACAGGACTGTTACTGATAGTTGTAATAGCATTCATTTTTTATAAAAGATGGTCCACTAGAACAAAACAGGAGAGTCCTAGCACTGGTTATGAGGAAGTAAAAACAGACAACAATCATCAAGAAAATGTGTATGCTACCATAACATTATAAACCTTTTAACCATTAAATTGGCTCTGTCTATTTTATGTTATTCCTTTGTATTTTGTAAAAATGTCAGTTTCATCTTTCTGATATATTTCATGATAAAAAGAAGATATAAGTGTTTTTAAAACAAACAAAATAATACAAAATAGGAGCAGAGCAAACACGGACCTCCAAAACATCAGAGGTAGGAGCAAGTGCCATGGAGAAGTGCGATTCCCCTGTCGACTAATCACACCTGCCGTGTGCTCCTTGTCGTGATCGGGGTATAACGGGAAAATTCGTAGTCAATTCATTGTATAAATAATGGACAAACAATAAGTATTTAATGATAAATTGTATTTGCTACATGTAACAAGGTCATTGTGTCGACCATAAAACTTACGAAAAGATGACTTTAAACGAGACTGTTGATATTCTTGTTTCATCAACTTGCTTGTCAATAATTTATCTTATTTTAGACGTAGAGAATGCCGTTTTTCACTGCATTCTTTTTACAAAAATGTGGATTATGCATTCACCCTTACCTTAATGTGGGGCTTGAAAAGGTGTACATGTTGCCAAATCCCTTTCACCTTTAGTTTTATGAATAAAATACGGGGTATTGCTTTTAAAAAATCGAAATAAAATTTTTAAATACATGTCATAAATCGCTCACTCATTATATGAGAAAGAGACAATATATGTATTTATACGCATATATTGTCACGTGACTGCTAGGGGTTAGCCCCTTACATAATCAGAGTTCAGAAGAATAAAAGAAAAACAAGAATTAAAGTGGTTAAAGAATTAGATTATATATTCTTTTGCACTATAACAATCATGTAAAATAAACGTAAAAGATTTGAAACAATATTATACAAGGTCAAAGAATGAGATAATTAACATTATTGTAGATAGAAAATTAGCCCTAGTCCCCAAAATACGTCTGATTGATAATTATTGATACTGTTGACTGATGCTGATTAGACAAGGTCGTACCAACCAAAGAACCTACGAAATGATGACTTTAAATGAGACTGCTGATATTCTTGTTTCATCAAATTTTCATCGAAAAACATCAGTTGTATATTTCTTGAATAACTGCACCTTTTTATGATCTGCAAAGTTGAATTGGAAGTCATGCAAACTGCAAAATCGACATACATTTTGTTTGCGAACATGTTATTCGAAACTTGTTTTCTCTTATATTAAAAAAATATGATCTGTGAACAAATAACACTAATTAATTTGAAAAGAAAAATGCATTTGTCTTTGAGCAAACTACACCTGTTCTCTGTTGAATGTCTGTAGTCTATATGATATAGCCTCCTGAATCTTAGTAGCTTGATCTTGCTGTAATTGTAAAGCGTTTTGATAACTCTGTAGGGATTCCAAATAATCACCGCATGTTTTTTGGCAGATACCCAGTATTTCCCACGAAATACTTCTAAGGTAGGTAGGTACATAAACCTCATTATTCGAAGTCAGTAGATTTTTGAGATCCCGTATAGATTCTTGAGAGTTCTCTGTGTCACCCAGTTTGTGGTAATTCAGTATTAATAGCATGTACAGTAAGGGGTGGAACAGGTAATAGAGGCATGGCATTTTTCATATTGATAATCTGTTCTAACACAAGTTCCTCAATGTAAATACAGGTACAGTTAATAGCTATATTTGTTACTCGTGCTTTAAAAATTTTTCGATACGGCATTCCGAGCATATATATATGCTCGGAATGCCGTATCGAAAAATAACGCCTGTACATATCAACATTAACACAGCCATTATACATGATGTATGGCAATAAGATTTTCTCTTTTGCTCTTTGCAAACATTTGAGTGAATGTTCAAATCTACGAGTTCTGTAAAGGTACATGGCGAGATGCAGACTGCTAGACACATATTCCAAGCTAAGGTACATGACTGTTATAGCAATGCAGAGACTTTGTAAGCTTTGTAATGTACCTTGTTGGTATAATTGTTATATGGATATCCAATGCTCTGGATCATTATGGCCGCATTTTGTAACGCATCTGATGTCAAACATTGTAATGTAACTGCTTGATAGGGTGTCAACTGTCCTTTCAGCAATCTTTCTATTCTTCGCATGAAACCGATGAATTCCTCAATACATGACATAGCCATGCATAACATTTGAAACTCGGCAAATAAGCTTAAATCTAACTCAGTTTTAGATATGATACTGCACTCATCTGTACAAATTCTCAATGTTCTATTTAAAATGGCATAACTGAGATAAGGTCTAAGGCTTTGACTTAATAATAAACATGATATCCCCTTACCATACAAATCATTCAATTGGCGGAACAGAGCAGATTGTACAGAACCAATGATTTTGTGTCGAAACATATTATTTTGTGGAATGAAAAAGTTTGGACATTCTCCAATACGTACCCAGTTTATCAATAATTTAAAGCACTCCCAGAAACAAGACAATAAATTATCAGGTGTCCAAATCAAGAACCTATTTTTCTGAATTACCCAAAATAAAGCTGTTTTTAAAAAGTATGAACAAAGAACAGGTGTATTATTTTGAAAGTTAATTACTTCTTTTAGAATTAATTTTAAAAGACCATAACATAGACACTGACAGTGATTCATTGCAAAAACAAGCTTTTGTTCTGCCTGAGAGAATGAGATTCTCCATTCGAGTACATTTTCAGGTGTACTGCCGATAGGAACAACATGGAATCCTCCGTTTAATATATCCGATATAACATCTTAAGATGGCCAACCTTGTGTACGACATCTTTGTATCCATGGTAGAGATATTGTCGGCCAGTGATGTGAATGGAAACAATCAACGTTATCCGATTCTAAATCTCCGAGGATGACAGTCGTAGAACAGGGTCCATGAGGGAACCAACGAAGAGAAAAGGGAGACATCTCATTGTATTTTAGCAATTTAATATGGTGGAATAACGTACTAGAAACGTACAATTTGTTGTTGATCTCTATAGAAGAGGATCCAATTTCATAAGATTTTGTTGGAATTATCAGATTTAGTTTGGTAAATCCTGGTGTTAAGTCTTCACATTCCATCAGAATTACAGTGTACTGTGGGATACGGTAACGACTTCTCTGAGAAAGTTCACATATTACCTGGACGTCAGGGGGCCAAATAATAAAATCTTAATCGTTTAGTCTGAATCCCTCTCTTCTACTTCCACTCAGCATTCGGTACACTCCTTTGGTAATAAGTGCCAACTGCATTTCTATGGGCAGCGGAAAGGGCAAAAATTACCATAATGAGAAAACAAACGATTATTTTAATTTCAATGACCATAAAAACTTGACAAATAATATACAATGCATAATCAAAAGACGTTTTCGCACAACAAATATACATTAAAGCAAAACCAACGACCACATTCGTAACAAACATGTATAAATGCAAAACCAACAATCATCTTTGCAGTACAAACGTACATAAAACAAGACAAGCGAAAAAAATTATCAAACGTGCACGCGGTAAATCTAGTCTTCCCGACTCCTGGCGGTCCCGTTTTTGTTTTGTTTTCTTTTCTTTGTTTGGGGGGGGGGGGGGCGATTTCTTTTTTGTCGGTGCACAGAAACTCTTCAAACTTCTTAGTTATGCATATTTCCTTTTTAAATGAATTCAATAATATGTAAAATCAAATTTACGTATTTATTACTGAAGCAGCAGAATCACCTTCCAAAAGCGTTAAATGTAGTACTCCGCTATAATATGAAAACCAAAAACGGACATCGATACAGAGAGACGTAGAAAGTAAAGGTGCATGGACACAGATTTGGAGTTCATATTTTCTGTATAATATTACGACTTATATATTGTAATAGCATTTCACACAAAAATATATTAAAAATCTTATTTCAAATAAAAATTATTAAAACTTCAAACTTTTAGACGGGTTTGATTAACACATCTTTGCAATCTCGCAAATCTTAATTTTATTCTTAATACTTAGGAAAAGTGGCAATCTTCAGTGGCGGATTTAAGCGGGGGCGCACCCGGCGCCCCCCCCCCTAAAATTGTCAAAATTAACGTAAATCACAGTTTCGTCTAGAAAATGTAAATATGTATACTTGGTAGAACTCATTTTTACCCTACAAAATCTCTAGAATCCAGGAGCTTCCGGGGGCTTCGCCGCCTGGGCCCCCACCAGGGCTTTGCCCTGGACCCACTGGGGGCCTTAAGGCGGCCCCCAGTCCCCTTGCCTACTATTGGCGCCCCCTCTAACTTCAATTCCTGGATCCGCGCCTGATCTTGTTTCAATAACATTAAGATGAAATAAAATTAACTTCAAATCTGTGGCCATGTATCTTTAAAGATATAAAAAATATTGAGAAGATATTTCTTCTCAAAAAGATGGAATTAGTATTTCAGTGAAAATAGGTGGTGTTAATAATAAAAAAAAAAATGAAGATTTAAATTTGATAAGAATTCATTACATCCAAATGATTTGATTTCAAATAAGATTTTTATCAAAAGTTTCATAAAAATAGCTAAATCTAACATTGTGCATATGTTTAAACCATGCAAAATGAAAGTATTGCATTGTTATACATTGACGTAGAGCTCAGAGTTTTTGAAAGGAGAGGGTAACCAGAGAAAAAAAATCCATCAAGCTGAAAAAAAGATTTTAAAAACTTGACAAGCAAAAACAAAAAGGAAATTAAAAATGAAATAGCCCAAACTCGAAAACCGATCGCGCGTGTGTGTGTGTGTGTGGGGGGGGGGGGGGGGGGGTCAGTTCAACTTCCTTTAGTACCAATTTTTCCCTAATATATATACTACATACCCCCCCTTTTTTAAAACCTTTTTCTTAAAATTTGGAAATGTTGCTACGTGCCTGTAATATGATATGTCACTGTAATGTAGATTCTTGTAATATTTAAAGAAATGGAGAAAACCAATTTATGTAACAACAACAAAATAACAAGAGGCCCATGGGCCACATCGCTCACCTGAGAAGCATTGGCCATTCTGTTCTTTAACAGATTTCCCCCTTGTAATACATATT